CAAAGTCGGTTACCACGCACATATCTTTTTGGAATATATATATATATATATATATATATATATATATATATATATATATATATATATATATATATATATATATATATATATATATATATATATAAATGTGTCAAAACCCGATTTCATAGTCTTTAAGGCCAAGATTGTGTTGGGAACATAAGAAAGCCCGTCAAAGTAGCTTAAAACATCACCATTTGAAAGGCTTTTAGTTATTCAGAGCCTGAAGAGTTGTACACTAACTCTGCTTGACCTAGATTAAATACTTGTCACTTAGAATCTGAGGCACAGATGTACTGCACGTGTGTGTGTGTGTGTGTGTGTGTGTGTGTGTGTGTGTGTGTGTGCGTGTGGATCTCAACACTATGACACCACACCTGCCAAATTGTCTTCCTATTTATTAGCTTCTTTCATTAAGATTTACTAGAAGTTAAGACAAGTTTATTGTTAATTGAGGGTCACAGCGGCCAGCACAAAGACACCAAAAATTTAATCGCCGCCGACAGTTATTACCGCGAATGACCATAAAAAAATAAAACAAATTATACAAAAATATTAAATTAAAATGAAAAAAAAAATATGCAAATAAAAAAAACGAGTAAAAATAATATTTGTAATCCTGAACATTAATGCCGAGCTATAATCCCAGGTTTTAATTCCGTGTTTTATGAGGATTACAATGCGTTCCTCGATCTGGAGTTCTGAGATTTTTAATTTTGGATGTTGCCGTCTTCAAGAGCTGTAATTCTACGATTTGCAACCCAGAGAACTATGATATCCCAAATTAGAAAATCCGATAACTGTAATCCCACATGCTGCAATCCCACAAGTTATAAGCCCTGACTTGCAATCCCACCCGTTGTAATCCCATGACATATTACCCCACCAGTTGTAATTCCTGACTCTTAATCCCCCTTCAATGTTCTAATCTGTTGAAGAGAGAAACTGTAATCTTCCAGAGTTGTAATCCTGCCAATTGTAACCAAGAACTGTAATCCCTGAGAATATCTATCAGTTGTAACCTTTCTAGTAACCAAAAATAAATATCCCACTGAACTGTATTCCAGGAAAGTTTTAACCACGAACTGTAATCCCTGAGAACTGTACTCTGACCAGTTGTAACCAAACTCTGAAATCCCACGACTTGTATAACCACGCAATGTAATCCCCAAGAAATGTAATCCTTCCAGTTGCAACCACGAATTGCAATAGTCTCAGAAAGCTGTTAGCCTTGGGAATGCAGAGTCTAGTGAGTTTTGCTGTGGAGGGAAGCTTTATTTTACTGTTAGCTGAGAAAGACATTGTTAGCCTGAAAAATAAGACAATGGCTAGACATTTTCCCAGCGAAACCTGTTATATAGCTCGTTATGTCCGTACTGCACCGAGATGATAGAATATATTCCTGGGAAAAGTCTGTGTGGTTGTAACTCATGAGAGAGAGAGAGAGAGAGAGAAAGAAAGAATGAGAGAGAGAGAGTGTCTCTTTGTCTCCTTTTCTCTCAGTCTCTCTCTCTCTCAGTTAAATGAGATACAAAAGAGTCAGTGTCCTTTTCTAACTTTCTCTCTCCTTTTTTTTTAGATGTAACCTATGAAGATCTCTCTCTCTCTCTCTCTCTCTCTCTCTCTCTCTCTCTCTTTTGTAATATCTTCTATTTATTTAATTTTTCGTCTACTCTCTCTTTCTCTTATAATCTTGTTAACTGATATGCATTTGTCATTATGTATGTGTGTGTGTGTGTGTGTGTGTGTGTGTGTGTGTGTGTGTGTGTGTGTGTGTGTGTGTCCCAGGTGGGATATTCTTGACACTGTCATGACGAAAACCTGCAGAGAAACCCTCGCATGATCGAAATAATACATCAGGACTGGTTTGATGAAAATGAACCGGCAATCAATGTACTCGTCGGTGAAAACGTTTTAACTGACTGGCAGAACAACCCTCAGTCTCTGACCAAAGCTGATACCTTCCGCAAGAAGAAAGTGGCGGCCCAGCGGGAACTAGGCAATCTAAAAAACGACTGGCTTAAAAATAAAGCATGTGAAACACAAAAATTTGCAGATCAGGACAAGATGCACGAAATTTTCAATTCCACTAAAACATTGAATGGGCCAATCACTCGTGGCGCAGTCCCCCTCCGCTCATCCGATGGGAACTCCATAATTCAAGATGACGAAGGCCTCCTTCAGCGATGGAAAGCACTACCAATCACTGCTCAACAAAAATTCCGATGTGGATGTCCTGACTACCCAGCAGGTCCCTTAGCATCCAGAGCTGACCCACCTCAGCTATCCTCCATCCCAAGATGAGGCAGCTACTGCCATCAAACATATTAAAAATAACGAAGCCTCAGGGCCTCATGGAATCCCAGCCGAGGTGTATAAAGCAGGAGGACTTTTGCTTACCAGTCGTCTCCACTCTCTCTTGGAGAATATATGGGAAAAGGAGGAAATCCCCTAAGCTTTTAAGGACTCCTGCGTCGTCAATATTTATAAGAACAAGGGAGACTGTGGCAACTACCGCAGGATCTCGCTGCTGTCCGTAGTTGGCAAGATTATCGCCCGAGTCCTCCTCAACAGACTTCTTCCTGAGGCGGTAAACTTCCTCCCAGAATCTCAATGTGGCATTATACCATCACGTGGCACCACTGACATGATCTTTGCTGCCCGTCAAATACAAGAAAAGTGCAGAGAACAGCGTCATGACGTATACATGGCTTTTGTTGACCTAACAAAGGCTTTCGAATCGGTCAACAAGAAGCCTTGTGGTGGACCTTCAGCTGTTTTGGCTGCCCACCAAAATTCATCGCTATTGTAAAGCAATCCCACGATAGTATGAACGGCAGTGTCCTGCACAATGGCATCAGGTGTGAGTTCTTCCCCATCCAAACGGGGTTAAATAAGGGTGTGTACTGACACCAATTCTCTTTTCCATTTACTTGGCTGCCTTCATTACTTGTGCCAGCGCCAATCTAGCCGGCGGGGTGGACATCGAGTATCGGATGAAGGGTCTTTTCAACATAAGACAACTCCAGGCAGGACCAAAGGTGTCGTCAGCTTCCATTACTGAGCTTCAGTATGCAGACGACCTCACCCTTGTCGCTCACACTGAACGCGACATACAGGAGATCTTGAACACCTACTCAGATACGTATGTACACTTCGGCCTTGAGGTGAATGTACGTAAGACCCAGATTCTCTTTCAGCCTGCCCCTGGTTCAACCACACCTCCACCATCCATCCAGCTTAACGGTATTGCCCTCTCTAATGTTACCCACTTTCGGTATCTAGGCTCCCACCTGTCCACCACCGCAGACATAGATGAAGAGTTTCAGCATCGAATCAGATGTGCATCTTTAATCTTTGGCAAACTGCAAAACCGTGCCTTCAGCTGTAGGAAGCTGAAATTATCTACAAAGTTACACGTATATTGACCAGTGGTCCTCCCCACCCTGCTATATGGCAATATGGCAGCGAGACATGGGACACATACAGGAGGTACATCAAGGCATTTGAAAAGTTTCACCAACGTAGTCTACGTTCCATCCTCCAAGTTCACTGACACCAACTGTAGAAGCATCGAGGCTACCAATATCCATGAACAACTACTCTGGAATGGCCATGTTACCTGCATGGACGACAGTAGACCAAATGAGCTACTTTAGAGTCACCTAACGAATAGTAAACGTAACGCTGGCGGGCAACTGTAAACATTCTTGTGACCTGGTGTTGGCGCCCACTGGTTGGATGGCCGTGTGTGTGTGTGTGTGTGTGTTTATATTTTCTATTAAGTTTTCATCTTTAGTAATTGTCAAACTAGACTCAAAACATTAAACGCGCGGAGAATGGTTTAAACAACATGGAAATTAATTCTAAGAAGCTGAACAAAGATATTATGATAATCTTTTTGAAGTTCGAAAATAAAAGATAAGGAATTGATGATGATGATGATGGTAGTGATGATGATGATGATGATGATGATGATGATGATGATGATGATGATGATGATGATGATGATGATGATGATGATGATGATGATGATGGTGATGATGATGATGATGATGATGATGATGATGATGATGATGATGATGTTGATGTCGGTATGAAAATTATGATGATGATGATGATGAATATGATAATGAAAACAAGAAACAACATTAAGAAAACAGAACAGAATTTTTGCATACGAGACGCGAGCAATTGTCATTCTGTACAATAAAAACATATTTAACAAAAGGCATCCAAGACTTTTAATAAAAATCCAATAAAAATAATAAAATAAACTCACATATAAAATAAAAAAATAACGAAAACATAAAATATACGTACGCTGAGAGAGACACACACACACACACACACACACACTACTACTACTTTGCTGTCACTCGGAAGCGAGTATGACGATCATCCAGCTATGATACAATGATATGTCACCTAGGTTGGTGAGTTTTGAGGTGACTAAAGAGAGCGATACGGGACCGGCAGGGTCGATCATAGAAGTTGCATATGTGGGGGGCTACATATAGTGCAGGAGAGGCGGGGGCAGTGTCTTTCCGGCGTTGACGCTTGTCTGCCTCGTTATGCAGTCGGGCTAACTTGAAAGTATTGACACCTTATAATATGGTGCTCCGTCAAGCGTTACAGTGTGGAGTAATCGTCTCCCATGTGAGAGGGTCGATTTGGCACTTTTTCAGGATTGTCTTAATACTATCCTTATACCACTTCAGTTGCCCGCCGGCATTACTTTAAGTAATCGTTAGGTGACTGTAAAGTAGCTGCTTTGGCAGTCTACTGTCCTCTATGTGGGTAACATTGCCAGTCGAGAGTAGTTGTTCATGGATAATGGTAGCCTCGATGTTCCTACACTTTGGTGTCAGCAAAAATACTGGCATTAGTTCTCTTGCCTTCCCAGCAAACACGGAGGATGGAACATAGACTACGTTGGTGAAAGTTTTCAAGTGCCTTACTGTGCCTCCTGTATGTGAACCATGTCTCATGCCATAGAGCAGGGTGGGTAGAACCACTGATCGATGTACGTGTAACTTTGGAGATAATTTGAGCTCCCTACAGCTGAAGACACGGTTATGGAGTCTCCCAAAGGCTTGGGATGCACATCTGATCCGATGCTGAATTTTTTCATCAATATCTGCGGTGGTGGACAGGTGGGAGCCGAGATACCGAAAGTGGGTAACATTAGTGAGAGTAGTACCGTTAAGATGGATGGATGGTGGAGATGTGGCTGAACCAGGGGTAGGCTGAGAGGGAATCTGAGTCTTATGTACATTTACCTCAAGGCCGAAGTGTGCATAGGCGTCAGTGTAGGTGTTCAAGATCTCCTGTAGGTCGCGTTCAGTGTGAGCGATAAGGGTGAAATCGTCTGCATACTGAAATTCAGTAACGGAACCTGCCGACACCTTTGTTCTTGTTTGGAGTCGTCTTTTGTTGAAAAGACCCTTCATCCGGTACCGGATGTCCACCCTGTCGGCTAAATTTGCGCTTGCACGAATATGGAAGGCAGCCAAGAAAATGAAAGAAAGAGTTGGTAACAGTACGCACTCTTGTATAACGCCCGTTTGGATGGGAAAGAATTCAGACTGGGTGCCAATGTGCAGGACACTGCCGTTCATGCCATCGTGGAGTTGCCTGACAATGGCGATGAATTTTGCTGGGCAGCAAAAACAGCTGAGGGTCCAGCAGAGGGCTTCCCTATTGATCGAGTCGAAGGCCATAGCTAGGTCGATGAAAGCCATGTACAGGTCACGACGTTGTTCTCTGCACTTTTCCTGTATCTGGCGGGTAGCAAAGATCATGTCAGTGGTGCCACGTGATGATCTAAAGCCACATGAGGTTCTGGGAGGAAGTTTTCCGCCTAAGAAAGAAGTCTGTTGAGGAGGACTCGGGCGCTAATATTTCCAGCTATGGACAGCAGCGAGATCCCGCGGTAGTTGCGACAGTCTGACTGGTACCCCTTGCACTTATAAATATTAACGATGCAGGCGTCTTTAAGAGCTTGGGGGATGTCCTCTTTTTCCCATATATTCTCAAGGAGAGAGTGGAGACGATTGGTAAGCAGAGGTCCTCCTGCTTTATACACCTCGGCTGGGATTCCATCAGGCAATGAGGCTTTGTTATTTTTCTTCTGTTTGATGGCAGCAGGTACTTCATATAGGGATGGAGGATAGATGAGGTGGGTCAGCTCTGGATGCTGAGGGACCTGCTGGGTAGTGAGGACATCCACGTCGTTTTTCGGTTGAGCAGTGAATGGTAGTGCTCTTTCCAGCGCTGAAGGAGGCCTTCATCGAATTAAATTTTGGAGTTACCGTCGGATGAGCGGAAGAAGGCTGCTCCATGAGTAATTGGCCCATAAAATGTTTTAGTGGAATTGAAAAATTCGCCCATCTTGTGCTAATCTGCAAATTTTTGTGTTTCACATGCTTTATTTTAAAACCAGTCGTTCTTTTGATTGCAAAGTTTCCATTGGGTCACCGCTCCTCGAAAGGGCTGCTCAGTTGCACAGATAGGACTGGATTCCACTGCTGCCTAGATTCCAGTTCATAAACGACCATCTTATCTGTGCCGCCCATGTGCAGTGTTGTGACAAGAGACTCCCGGCAGTCATCTCTGCCTGTCCCTGTCGCCACTCGTCTGTCGCCATAGGACTTTTGGGCATATAGGGGTTTTGATGATGATGAGTGGTATGATGAGCTGGATGATGGCTGCGCGTGAGTTGATTTATGTGGTGAGGCAGGAATGCAGGCTGCAACGAAACATCTTAGCTCTCCCCTTTCCTGATCCAGTGGTGCTAGTGTCGCTACGACTGGGGAGAGGGAGAGTTGCAATGGACTGCCTATACCCCAGTTTGTTGGGTTTCCCCTTAGTTGCCTGTCCATCAGGCATTGCCTTCATCCACCGGTGTAGTCGTTGGGTTCCCATGGTGGTCATCTCTTCCGCCTATACCGCCGCTAGGGTCTTGTTGGAGCTCTGTAAGCATGTCTGCCTGATGCGGGGCTCCACCGCATATTTTTGTTCGGGGTCTACTCCCGTAGCCTTATACCTACCAAGGTTAATCCGAAAGGCACCAGGGCAATGGTTGGTAGGGGCCAGAACGTGGCCACATACCAGTAGGCCTATGTGCCGTCCTTCTGGGGCCACTGCTACTCCGAGATTCCCTGCTGGTCTAGCCTGGGCCCACGATGCACCCAGTTACCGTGTGTTGCACGAGGAGGTACAGGAGGAGTCTTGACGGTGAAGAGGCTGTGTACTGGCAGGGGAAGACTTATGCAAGTTGCTTCCCTGTTCGCCACGAGGGCTAGCCAGCGGCTGCAGCTGAAAGCGAGAGGGAGCAAGCAGTGCTTGCACCTTAACACTGACACAATGCTGCCACACTAGACGCATTTCACCGCCCTGTGTGCGAACACACACACACACACACACACACACACACACACACGGGCTTCAATAACTAATGCTATTTTTCCCTGTCATCCTTCCAATACACAACAAAATATGTAATAATTTTCCCCATTGTTTGATTCACTCCTCGCCAGAGCAGTAGAGAATAAAAAAAGGCAACATTCAGAACAATGGTTAATATTCAACACTAATAAAAACAGTCAGTGTACAGTGTTCTTATTTTTCATTTGTGGTTTTATTGCTCGTGTTTGTCTATTAAGCACCAAATGGAGGAAAGTAATGAAAAAAAGTAGTTGACACACTTCCGGGTACCAGCGTTATGTCATGGCTGTGGTTAGTGTTGGTGAGTAATTTACCAAGAGGATTTTAAATGGACGTATGGGAATGTTCATATTTTGGATACGTTCTTGCTGAGGTATATACTGTTGGGATTATTATAATGGTCTTAGATAACGTACGGGGACATAGAAGAATTCCATTAAATTCGTTCTCTGACAATTTATTCGTCGAAAATGACATAGCTTTAAATGAACGTGCAAGAAAATTAGACTCACATTAAATACGCTCTTGGGCAATTAAGTCGATGCAATTAACATAGCTTAAAAATTAACGCACGAGATTATTCATATTAAGATACGTTCTCACACAGTCTCTCACAGCCAGGTGCTCTGTAGCTTACTGATTTGCCACTTCAGAGATTCACCCAAGCTACGCCATCCCTTTCATGGGTTCATCTGCTCTACATCTGACCTTTTGCAGGTTCTTTTATGCTCCCCTGACTTTTTGCGGGTTATTTTGTTGCTTCACTGACCTTTTGCGGGTTATTTTGTTGTTTCATTGACGTTTTGAGGGTTCTTCTGCTTCAACCATGACTTTTTGCGGGTTCTTTTGTTGCTCCTCTGACCTTCTGTAGGGTCTTCTGTTTCGCCTCTGTCTTCCTGTGGGTTTTTCTGGTATAATTATCTAACTTTTGATGGGTTCTCCTGCTTCTCCTTTGACCTTCGACGGCTCTAAAGATGCCCTCCTCAACCCTCAGCAGTTCTTAAGAAAACCCCCTAATCTTCCGCGGTTCTTACAACGGGTCCTATAGTAATCCCCCGGCTTCCCTCCCTCAGTCAACAGCACATCGTTTTATGTTCCCGAGATGATTCACCGACCGTAACATGATTTGTGTACCTTTGGTGGGGTAGTATTGAGCAGCGCCTCTCTCTGTTTTGTTACGTATTTATGTCTTTTCCATCTATCTTCTCTATTCGCCAGGCGCCACATGTCAACCTCTACACATGAAATAATCCCACATACAAGGACCTACACACACACACACACACACACACACACACACACACACACACACACACACCCTATCCTTAGAACTTCACCTTCACACCTCCGTCTGTCACCATGCATGAGAAACGAAAAAAGACCTCACGCTGTTGTGGTCCACGACACACACACTCACTCACTCACTGTCACAGCTGAATCGTACATCCTCGCGGGGGTCAACACCTCACAGAGTCCCTTGTCTGATTGCCAATTACGACAGCAGTGTGACGTCTATGGTTCACAGGACCTTTATTTTATATATATATATATATATATATATATATATATATATATATATATATATATATATATATATATATATATATATATATATATATATATATATTTTCGCCTGCTAGTCATGTTACGCAAAACGAAACAAACAAGAAGGGTAATGTATCGTCGAGTTCAACCGCATTTTATAGATAATGGAGATTAGTCCCTTAATTTGGAAGTAATAATATCATTTAATAATATAGCCACGCCTGGAATTTATTGTGTTCATTAGAGTAAACGACCAATTATAGTCAAACGGGCATTAAGTCTCGGCAATATATATAAATGCTTCTTTTTTTTACAAATGACAGTAATAACTTATTACGCTTTCAGACGGGAAAATAAATAAAATAATAACATAGCAATGTGCAGAATTGATATTCTATTATATAGAACTATGAGAGAGAGAGACTTCCTACATAATTCTCATTACTATTGGTGAAATATTTCCGAGAGAGATATATCTCAGATTCGCATATTTCACAAACCCATTTCGACATGAGTAAATTTTCGAGATATACACGTGCTATACTTTGGGTAATAATAAAACATATATAATATTTCACAGCACAAATGTTCGCGAAGATATTTATACGACGTCGTTTCTCATGTTATACCAATATAGTGAAAGGTCTTCGGTATATCTCTTTTTGATAACATGTTGCAAGACAGAGATCGAAAATAATATGCTTATTATTTGATCTTTGTTTTTTATGAAACTATAAAAATGAACTATAAAAATGTGTTCCTTCTTCTATTACATTGTGTTATATATTCTCGGTTCTTTGACATTTACTTAATATATTTCTATTTTTGAGATACCATAAGGTGCAGATTATTCTCAGGGCTTGACCTTTAAGACTTACTTGTAAAAAATATTACAATAACAGCTACATCATAAGGCAACTAACTTTTTCATTACGCAATCAATACAAACTAATAACAGGCATTTTTTAACCCCACAGTGGCGGCACTGCTAGCGGCGGCGGCTGGTGATGGCGGCGTGGGTGGTGGCATGGGTGGCGGGAAACTGGAGGTGGAGGTGGGTGGCGGCGGCGGGGCGGCGACGGGCGGCGGGATTGTGGACACGGTGGCCAACAACAGCCAGATCATCGTGTTACCCGGAGAGGCCGCCAAGCTGCCCTGCCCTATACCCTCCGACGTGTACGGCTCTGTAAGTGTCCACCTCTTGTATGTATGTATCATGATGACACACACACACACACACACACACACACACACACATATATATACTGTATATGCATGAAATAACACAAATACATATATACATATTCACCGATTGTTAAGCATCTACAGACAAATATGTATTTACATTACGTCTTATTGTCTTAATGTTCGATATATATATATAATGTTACGAGCTTCTTTTGCATGTACCTAAAATATGAACAAGGAAACATTGTTAACATCACTCGTCTTCAATGGTAACCCAGACACGTCAGAAAATAATGCGAACACCCGGGGTATCCAGTAGAAGAATCCAATATTTTCTGACATGTTATGACCCTGCAAGAAATGTCTGAGAATTCAAGAATACTGCTATTTTTTTCAGCAGCTGCAGAGACAGATTGCAGTTAATTATTAACGTTATATCAAAGGCAACAAAAATACTCAGATAATATCCTTTACAGACAACTAGAAACTCGGTGTAACGTAAAATATACGATCCCTAGATGGCTTGAAGTACATGTGCCGGGATACTTAATTGACAATGGAGTTAAATGATGCAAAATAGACAGACCGAGACAATTTTTAAGATTACAAACGATTCAGAATTTCCATCAAGAACAGCATAAGCAATGTGTACTAGTTCAGAGAGTCACTTGTTTGGTCCTCCGGTAAAACAGAGTCCACACCAAGCCGGATCAAGGGAATATCATTTTGGTACCTGAAAAACCCGCCTGCGGTAAAGGGGTCTTTAGCTCACCACAATTGGATCGGATTCCCAGAAGGGATTTACTAGGCGATGAAGTTCCTCTAAAAAAGATTTGTTTGTGAAGTGTTAGATCTATGTAGAGAAGAAGGTGTTGGTGAGAAAGTCCGAGTTGAGGCCGAAGGAAAATGAGGGAGTGCGAAAAGAGATCCCTGGAGGTGAACCACAAAGGAGCGACACAAAAATAATAACAAGGAGGGATTTTGTCCTTGAATTCATCCCACGGGCCCTCAATCCTCAAAGAACCTTGGAAAGGGATATTGACCCAAAAATATTTTTCCTTGCTGGAATACCTCAAAAGAAGAGCGGTGGAGAGGGGAAACACGGCCACCAGTAGCCTCATATGAAGCTCTCTAATTCTCTGTGTGAGCCACCTCCCCCACTCCTGCATGCTCTCGGGACCAAATGGTCTCTCAACACCCAGGACTGAATGTCCACTATAGGAGACGTGCGTGTGGGTGTTGTGTAGGCTGTTGAAGGTAGTTATGGATGTGTTGTTGTTGTTGCCGGCCTCAGGTCTCACTTGTGCCGAATGTGGAGGAAGGAATCATACTTATTCCTCTACCGCCAGTTGATACCAACATTTTGATTTATTAAAAAAAATATAACCGATTCCCTATGCATTTCATTCATTCAACTTCTTAAAAAAAATTATCAATTAAACAACTGAATGTTCACCTGCCATAAGGTACACTGTGTTCTTTAAGTTTTTTAATATATAATTTTTGTTTCTACAAATATTAGTAACAGTATGTTCGTACTAAATTTACGAATAATAGAATGTATTTGTTATCATATGCAAGACAGTAAGTCTAACAACAAGTAATGATTATAAAGAGTAAACCCTCAGAAGGGACTCAGTGTACTGAATGTTATGTATGTATGTTTGGCCGTCAAAATAAATAAAGGATTCGGTCAACACAGGAGGAAAAGCTCGCACTCGGGAACTGTGGTCATTTTCTGCTTATGGAGCTTCTCTGCGCGCTCAACCTGGAAACGTGGGGCAATGCCGCCTTACTTCCTGAATCTCCTTCCAAAAATTCAATAACAATAACAGTCAACCACGAAACGCCATTCCTATGCCTAAGCAAATTTGTTTTAAAGACAACACAATATATTGTTGGGTCGGAAACTGTTTTATAAGACATAAGACGCCACAATGGGGAGAACCAACACCTGGACGATGGCTTATATCCTGACCATACTTCTCTTTGACTGTTGTTTCACCACCGGTACCTCAGATATTATCACTATGTTATGCAAGTCGGGTGAGCTGCTGCCGGCTACATGCTTCAGGGAATTGTTTACATAGTTGAAGCGGCAATAGCGAATGTCGTATACATATAACAGTGCACATATTACTACCCTTTTGAGGAAAATGTGGTGTTATTGCATTCAATCTGTGTGTAATAATAATAATAATAATAAAATAATAATAAACAGTTTGTTAATAGAGTTACAGCCGGTGGCTGAAAATATACAAACTTACATGTGATTTAGACATAATGATATGCGTTCAATACATTTACAGGGCTGTACAGTACATAAATCAGGAGTTGTTTATTATTTTAACAATAGATGGGATGGTGCTATTCTTATATCTATCAGTGTGGGCTCTTATGGGCTGAATTTTGTTGTAGCGGCGGACTGCGCGAGGTGGGCGGGGGACTGCCGGTTGGCAGGAGGTGGCGATGACGAGGATGGTGCAGTAGTCCACTGGCAAACCTTGCTTGTGCTTGGTGGTGGAGGTCACTGAGGGATGGCATTTCCAGGGTGGAGAGAGGGTTGTTGTAGCCGGAGTAGTCTGCGTCGAGCATGATTCTGCAGGCCCTTTTCTGTACCTTCTCTAGCTGACGTTGTTGGGTAGAGTTGAGAGAAGATGACCAGGCTGGTGACGCATACGTTAATTTGGGGAGAATAAAGGCGTTGTAGATAGTCCTCAGGTCTGGCGTGGGTGCCCCAAGTGACCTGAGTCGTCGTAGTATGTAGAGTCGGTACGAGGCTGCCTTGATTGTGTTGTTTACATGGACCTTCCAGTCCAGTTTGTGGTCTACGGTAACATCCAGGAGTTTGGCAGACTGCACTAACCGGAGAGGATGGGTACCCACTGTGACTGCTGGAGCTTGCACTGGAGCGGTGGCGGTATTGATGTGCATGACTACGGTTTTGGTGTGGTTGATGGTGACCTTGTTCTCCGTAGTCCATGCCTGTAGCCTGTCCAGGGAGCCTTGTAGCGATGAGTAGTCCGGTGAGGTGTTGTCCACTGTAACCCCCACAGTGCAGTCATCCACGTACTTCCACCTGTGAGGAGTGTCCGATAGAGCGTCGTTGATCAGGATTAGGAAGCACAGTGGTCCCATCTTGGTCCCTTGGGGAACACCGTAGGTGAGGTGTTGGAATGTGGAGACAACCCTGGTACCTGACTGCCTGACGACGCTCACTCAGGAAATCAGTGAGCCATGAGACCAGGTTGGTGGGCAGCCCTAGTGCAATGGCCTTGTTGATGACAGTGCAGTGATCAACAAGGTCAAAAGCTTTCCTGAAGTCAACAAGGGCAACGGCCAGTGGTGTCTTACGTTTCTGCAGGTTTTTCTGCAGGAAATCCAGGAAACTAACTAAGCAGTGTGATGTAGAGGAGGTCCTCATATTGCCAAATTGCTGTGGATCAATTGACTGATAAATACTAGCAAATGCCCACTCAAAAACAAAGGCTTCACGGAGCAGACTGGGTATGGGGGTAATGGCAACTGACCTGAGGTCGTTAGGGGACTGTGGGGTGGGGACCTTGGGGATAGGGGTGACAAATGCGGTTTTCCATTCATTAGGGCATTTGCTTTGTCTGAGGGATGCATTAATAATAGAACAGAGGGGGGTGGCAAGTTCAACTGCAAACTCCTTGTAAATTTTGATTGGGAGGTCAATTGGGGTTGTGGAGCGTTTGGATTTAAATATCAGGAGTTTGTTGGCAATTTCAAATGGTTGAACACTGGGAGGGAGGGAAGGTGTGTGTGTGTGTGTGTGTGTGTGTGTGTGTGTGTGTGTGTGTGTGTGTGTGTGTGTGTGTGTGTGTGTGTGTGTGTGTGTGTCTGTGTGATGGGTAGTCAATTATTTAGTTCTAATTAAAACCTCTATTAACATGCCAAATAATTTTGTTTTTGAACTATTGGATCATTTAAAGATTAACCCAGTAGCTTATTTCACCTTAAACCAACCTTATCAAACCTAAAGAGGGTGTCCACTATACAAAACTGTTCCTGTTAAATAATAACGCGTGGGAAGACATATTATTTGCCTCAGACTTATACTTTACAAAGGTAACAGCTATGTAATTTAGAGAATTTTATTTTAGAGTGCAGAGTGAACAGTTTTACATGCGTAGGCCGAATTTGTTATTGTTGGCACCATTCTCACAAAATCTCACAATATATTAATACTATCCTTCAATCTAGCCCAAATTACCACAAGGACTAAATTTGTGTGATACAGAAACGTTCTTAAGCTCATTGATTATGTAAACGAACACTGATTTGCAAAAGTGTCCCCACCTATCAACACTATTTACTTACACCACGAGATCTTTATTAATGTTTTCGTGTGGTATTGTTTCCCAAATACAGTCCCAGCCTTCAGTAGTTCATTCAGCTATTGTTTTGTCTGCCTTTTGTCCTTTTGCTCTCACCCTTCTCTCATAAATCTTCCTCAGTGCCTGGCCATTATTCATGCATTCACCATCCCTATAAAACGTGAAAATGCTTTTGTCTGTGTGATTTTTATAAAGAATTTGCCCTTCACTTTCAACTTCATCTCTACAGTATATTCAACACTCAAACGCGGCTCTTCGTCCTTAAGTTTTTTTATAGGTTAAATCCTCTACACTATTTTCATTATACACTTGTTATTGTCTATAAACTAGGTGCCGCGGCCGAGTTGGTATAGCGCTTGCCTTCTGTCCTCAGGAAAGATGATTTAATGCAGCCCAGGTTGACGCAGCCCTCAGTGGGTACCTAAATTTATAGGCGGGGAGGCGTAAGCACTCGAGTCAAGTGTCGGCCATACAACCTCTCCGTGTACCGAAGGCTGAGTATATACAGTAGTGCAGTGTGCTGCTTACCAGCACAGCGTTCACAATAAAAACTGCCGTCCTGAAGTGTCTGGCACGTATCAACTGTGACCTTAAATTTTTAAAACCCATTTTGTTCTAAAACTAGACCAGTTCCTCC